AGAGGCTGTACTGTATGACTGTCCAAGCCTGTGTGCTGCAATCCATTAGCACTGAGTTCTCCACTACAACCATCCCCAGGGCAGCGGCACCAAACGGAGAACAGTACTGCCCTGGCAATCTGTGCCCACAGTGTTTCCCTATGGGCATCCGGCTCTCTAAGGGTTTTATCACTGTGAGCAGATTTACCAGATTTTCAAAAGACATTTTTTTTAATGTCATTTTCTGGTTGATATTACTGCCCTCTCTGATCTGCCATAAGCAGGCGAAGTCAAATGTCCCTTCGAGAGATGTCTACACTAAGATAAGGAGCTGTAACTTGAATAGAAATGCTGAAGCTTGACTTAAACTTCTCCTGTACATATGAGCAGTTTTGAAAGTGGGTGGATTTTTGTTAAGTGTTGATGTCATTTTAAATCAAATGCATATGCAGAAATAACAACTTAATAATTTACATCAGTACAAGGCCCCACATGACATTATAATAAATATTTAATTTGATTGTTTTTTTTTAAAGTACATTTTTCACCATGTCTTCAGTACAGTATATGCAGAACAAATTTACATACTGCAGTACTACATTTTAAACCTGTAGTCAGTTCTGTAACAGTAGTAGTAGTTTGCCCCAACTAGGAAAAAAAATCATGGTTTAGGTTTAGATAAATTGATCGACGAAGTTAAAGCTTCTGTGAGGAGTTTTTAGCTACTAATGAAACTGGATGAAAGTTACAGTAATGCCTCTTCATAACCTGCAGCAGCAAACTAGATATTTTGCACAAAAAAACAAGACTAGAGACTTCCACGCTGTAACTTTTACACCTGAAACTGTTGTAAGGGGATAGGTGGTGCAATTCACATAGTGAAGAGATACCATTTTCATTATGTACTTTTCCTCAGCACACTAGAAGTAATATCTTATGACTGTTGAAAGAGATCTGCACCTACTTTCGTCAACATGCATTTGAAAGACAAGATCACAGATAGTCACTTTGACTACAGGGGGTGCCAGAATAGAAAGTTCCTTATAGGAGCTTTAAGTTACATGTGTTAAAACAAGTCTACAGGCCTCAGTCATTGACCATCTTTTCTTAAAACCAAAATTTTTTTTGTATTTACAAAAGTTTTTGTGAATTATTTTCCCTTAGTTAAGACATTCAAGAGCACGCCTCTGTGCACATGAGCTGTGTCAGTGTGCAAAAGCACTGAATATTGTGTCGTCCTTATTGGTCAGGTATGTATGGACTCCACACATCAAACTATGAAATCAAACTAATTTGGGTAGATTTTGATAAGATGATCATTTAGGCTGTACAGTTCAAATAATGTTGAGAGAAAACACTTAGTTATGACAGCAATAATCTCCCTTTAAAAACATACATACATATTATATATGTATGTATATATTTATATATACATATATAATATGTATGTATGTTTTTAAAGAGAGATTATTGCTATATATTCATATATACAGTACATACCTATTTTATTGCTTTTATTTTCTACGAGGTGGCTAGTTTTCTGCATTGAAGGCGACCTTCTTTTGGTTAAGAGTGAACCAGATCCAACCCAAAGTAGTACTGTCAGTGTTTTTTCAGAGGCAGATGGTCAAAAGGAGTAAGGGAGCAGTTTATACACACAGCAGAGCCAGAGACACCAGAGCCAGACTGTACAAAACAAGTCCACTACAAATGCCTTGTTAACGTGCAGACATGAATAAACATCATATGTTGATAACAATGTCCTCTAACATAACCTGTTGAACATATATCCCACATGTTGGTAAGACAGATCTCACTGCTGACTCATAGGCTAGTAAGCTTTTCAGCAGTATATCAGGCAGCATGTGCACATACCTGTAAAGTGGCTTTTCATCACCCTCAGATGCTGCTGTCTCTTACATAAACCACAGCAGATTATTTACCTTGTCATGTTTCCTTCATATTTATGTGTGCAGGTGCAGAACAAGTTATAACAAATTTTCACACTCATTCAACACTCCTCTAAAGCCCAAATGCCCCCAGATTTAAGTAATACCTGTCAGGCATTCTTCTATTTTAACACAATTCAGCCCTAAGATTCTAATTGTAGTTATTCTATTGATTTATTGTCTCGCTGACTGTTGTTTGTGCTGTTTTAGATGCAAACAAACTGAGTCTGAGAGTTTGTATTAGAAGAGGCATGATGTTGCTGAATAAAGCTGTATGTCTGACAGACTTATGGTCAGCTTTGTGAAGGTGCTGCCAGAGTTTATAGCTTTTATTTTGGAGTGTAAGAGAGGGGTACCACTTCTTGCTTAGAGCATTTCTATTGACAATAAGGCTTTATCTGCCAGTAGCTCTCCATGATAGTCTTCACATCATCACTGAAGCTGAAACTATAGAGTGTGGTTGTCTAGAGTCAGTGATGTTTGTCTAAAAAAGCCTGTTTTTATGTTTTTTCTTCTAACTTGTGTTTACTCCACTGTTGTATTTGCCACCAGAACATGACTTTAAATTGTTTTCAGGGAACTAAGGCCATCTTATCAAAACAAAACTTATCAAAACATAAGGAAATTGTGCAAAATCTAAATATATTAATCATAACAGGAAGTGATCCAAGACAGTAAAGGTTCAACTACTTTGCTTGAACACCTGTTCATTATACATACCCTATGATTTATGCTGTTGCAAAATACTTACTGCCAATCAAGCCTTTAAATCAAAAGACAAGAATAGGATGAACTCCGTTTTGAAAAACTGAATTACTCAGAAAATGTAATCAAACTTTCTCTCACACTTTGTTTAAATGTCTTGTCATGCAGGAGACAACAGCTATGAGCTGATAGTGAGAGTAAACAATGAGCTGTTGATAGATTGTACATTCAGGGTGCTGCATGATTTATTGAGCTAACTGTATATCACCATGCAGTGAAAATGCCTCAGGGGAGTTTGGAGTCACTGCATTCTTACACCTGGATGTGCTGTAAACTTGCAGCCACACAGATTGAATAAGCTGTAATTGTTCTGTTTATGTGAGTGTGCTACATTTGAGTTTGTTTTTCCTGTCAGGAAGAACATGATACAGTCGGGATCTCTGGGCTGTTTGCACATGAAATTTCATGTCTATGTCATGCATATTTTCTAATCTGTGTGGACCACTTTCCCTCCACGTTTTTTTTTTTTTTTTTACTCTTCATGATTATCAAGACTTCTGACTTCAGTAGGGTTGCCAGCAGGAATAATAACTGTATTTTGTTCTGCAAAGGACTTTTTAGTTGTGAAAGTCATTTCCTAAGTGTCAGGCAATGTCAGGGAAAATGGTTGTGACATTTGTAAAAACAATCAAGGAATGAAAGTAATTATTTGCTGGAAAAAAAAAAAGGTAAGAATTTTCTCTCTGTGTTTTCATCGGTTTCTGAAATGATGTGTTTAATCATATACACAGTCTCTATATCAAAAAGGCAGCTGATTGAATCTCATTGCATTCATACCAGACTCTGTTCATTGTACATTTGCTGGTTTATTTTTCATTAATCTGCTTTTGATTGTCTGGATTTGTGTCCGAGCTTTTCTGGCTTTTTCAAACTTATTTCAATTTATTTTACCTTCTTATCTTATCAGCTTTTTTTCTTGTAACCAGTTTTTCCCACCTACCCATTTACCAAACCTGCTTCTAAGGTTTTTTTTTATTGCAACAAATTGCACAATTTTGCCAAAGATGATCTTTGCTTGGGTCCTAACTTCTTTCCTGCATCTCAAGTCAAACTACTTTTACTTCTTTGAATACGAGTTGAATATTCTCTTATTATACATAAATCAGCTTCATATTGTGTTTGATTTTCAGTCAACCTAACACAGCTGGTTTGAAAACCCACTCCGATGAAAATCTTGTTTGCCACATGGCATTTTTTTGATGCTACAGGACATGCCATGAGAAAAACTAAATGCAAAATTGCTTTTCTGAGTATTTCTTCGTTCAAATCGCTGTGAATCTCTGGCAGAAACAGACAGCAGGTTCAGAAACAGTGAGATTTCCTACATAACCAATCCAAGCTCCGCCCCCCGGAGCCACGCTATGCAGGCCAGGCTCAGAGAAATAGAGAGGACAATCAGGAAACAAGCGTGTGCTTTAGTGAATTGCAATGATCGCAAGAAAGCTAATTATGATATTAGCTTTCATCATGTCCCTGAAGACAATAGTGTCCAAGAGCTGAACAGCTCCTGTGTTACCTGCCACTTCTACTTCACCGGCAATGTTAGGCTGCAAGCTAATTTGAGGAGAAGTGTGCAGAGCAGCGCTGTCTCCGCCCACAACTCAGAGGTTTCACATGTCGAAATGCAGAGTTGTGTCCATTCAAGCTGAACCTGTTGTGGTAATTGAACTGCCTCTCTCTCTAAAATCACAGTTTTACTCTGCAGGATTCATATCTGATATAAGTTCGGATTGTAACACAAATATGACCTCCATTCAAATTCCTGTCAACTTGAATTTGTTTGAAATGATAAAAAAGTAAAAGTTTGTTTCTTTGTGTAAGTAATCTGATGCCGAGAAGGACAGAGTCCATGTCCCCTCACAGATAAACTCACTTCAGTTCAGTTGGGTTTCATCCCTTAAAACTGAAGTGTATCAGGCTACTTCTGGAGAGCCAAATGATGTCATTTTGAGAGATGTGTTCACCTGTTTATATTTTTGGTTTTTACCCTTAACCTTTTCATCTCAATTTCATTTAAAGTTTTAAAAGTATTTGAAGTAAACCCCTGATTTCTCTGAAAATGTTTTCATCCAAACTTATCCTCTTTAAAATCATGGTCTAAAACCTGAAACACTGATATAAAGCACAAGTTTCACCTTCAAAAGAACAGAAACAGCTGAAAGTTGCTTCTTTAACTTGTCTGAGAACATCTTTAGTTTAGGTTTTAGTCTTTCACCAGATCTAAAAATCAGACTCACTGAACCAATGAAGTGCAATGCAACATGTTTATTATTTTGACTGTCACATGAACATTAATTTACATTGAGTGACAGAAATATTCCGACTGAGAATTCTCAGTCTTCGGGAAGCTTGCAGCAGCAGCAGCAGATCCTCCTGAACCACCTCAGGATCCTCCTCATTCTAGATGTTTTGACTTGGACCTGCACAGTCTCATTTGGGGTCTGGAGATCTGGCTCTGTGGTGGACTGCTCATGCACAATCTCATCCTCCGAGACCGCAGCTGTGATGGACGCTTCTGTGGGCGTGATCACAGGAGGTGATGGAGTTGGCACCATCAGGGTCTGGGTTGTTGGGTCATCCTAGATAGATAGATAGATAGATAGATAGATAGAGAACTTTATTAATCCCCGAGGGGAAATTTGGTTGTTGTAGCAGCCGATACAAGCAATACAGAGAAATACAAAAAATAGATAAAATATACAAGACCTCTGTGACTGGCTCCTCGATTTTGTCCACACCCTCCAGGTCCAAAACTAGGACTGGAGGCTCATCTTTGGTTTCTGACTCCTCAATTTTATTCACACCCTCCAGGTTTGAAACCAGGACTGGAAGTTCAGCTGGCAGGGTGACAGAGGGGAGATGAGCCTCGACAGACTCAGAGGATGGTGAGGGCTCAGGTGAAATAGCCTGGCTGGTGATGGATGGCTCATCAGGACAGACTGCAGGAGACGGTGGAGAATCATCCTTGGCAGGTTCTGCTTCCTGGCCTGGCTCTTGGTTACTGACTGTATCCTCAGTTTCAGGTTCAAACAGCGTTGGAGGCTTTCCCAAAGCAGGCTCTGGATCTCTAATGGACTCCTCCTCCATATCCTTGCCCTCCAGAACTGAAACTGGGGCTGTAGCTACAGCTGGAAGGGCCTCATGGGAATATGGAGTTTGCTCTGCAGGGTCCAGTTCACTGTTTGGTTCTTCATTTTTGCTGCGTGGCAGAACTGAGTCTGTGACTGGAGGTGCAGCACTCAGGGTTTGGCTGATGTTTGCCAGCTCCTGATCAACTGTTTGACTCTGATGCTCAAACAGCTGACAGACGGACTCTGCTGAAACACTTGTGATGATGTCGAGCACCTCCACTTCAAAACAGTTAACCTTCCTCCTCAGATGGTCTGGAGGGAACATCTGCCTCACCTTTGCTTCGATGGCCTGGACCATGTTGTCTCTGATGGACTGAGAGAAGGTGGCCTCATGAAGAGGTGATAGGGAATCAGAAACACGATCAAGGACGGCTTTCGTGACTCCAACAGCCATCTCACTCAGCTGCTCTGAGGGCATTTCCCGAGCAATGCTCCTTTTCGGTTTCCAGAGGACCTGAAGGACTTTAGGAACCAGTTCGATGACCACCTCTCGAGGACTCAAACTCTGACAGACTGGACCTCTTTGCAGCTGCTCCACCAGGATCTTTGCATACTCCTGGGCTTTGCTGCGGATCTTCGGATGCTGGTAAGAGGGAGGTATTGAGTACGGGGAGTCGAGCAGTTTTCTGGCTTCAAACTCCACATCTCTTTTCAGCAGGCTGGTGTTGACCTCCCACACCAGCTCCAACAGAGGCTGGACATCCTTATCGAATCCCTGCAGCTCAAACTCCCACAGCTGCACTCGGAGTGAGTTCTTGCTTTCCTCCACCATCAGGTTAGCCATACTTTCAGCGGTCAGCTCAGCGGGTAGCTGGTTGTTCTGCTGCAGTTGAAGGAGTTCAACCATGAGAGCCACCTTGACTTTGTACGGTGGAGGATTCCAGCAGATCTGCTTGGCTTCTTTGTAAATTGGGGTTTCAAACATCACCCTTATTGGCCTGTATATGCCTCTACTGCCTTCGACAAATGCCATGACTAGTAAGATTCTTGACGTACAAGAGAGAGATCAATCAGATGCGCACTGGTCAACAGTATCTGTCGTCTGAAGCTACAGACTGCCTGATTTGTTTTTAAACCCCCAAGGACGGAACACTGTGACCTGTCGCCATAGTAACACAAAACAGAGCCACACCCAGTGAAAAGCATCTGACAACATCACAGATGCTTGGTTATGGTGATTGGTTACAGTAGTACATGGACCAATCAGGGGCTGCCTTTCCCTGTTGTCCGGGTAACAGTGAAAACGAAGTCTCTGATTGGCCCGGTTATTTTCTGATCAGGCATACAGACCTGTCAGAAGGTTCTAGAACACAGAGGGTTAGTTTTGGTATCGCCATAGTAACACAAAACAGAGCCACACCCAGTAAAAAGAGCAGAGCTTTCAGGGTGCTGAAATGGAAAAATGGAATCACGTGAAGATGGTTAGGAGGATCAAATAAGGAGGAGATGAGCATGCAAAAAATAAAATTAAAAAAACCTTCATAATCACAATTTAAAGACGTCTGAACACACTTTTAGTTGTAAAAAAAAAAAAACGATTGGAGTGGGACTTTAAACACACTCTTCTGGTACTCTATATGGTGATAATTTTACAAAAAAAAAAAAAAACTTAAGAGGTTATTTAAATATGTAATGTGTGTTTTATGGTCATCATGATTTCTGACAGTCTGATGACTTAAGCGCATTAACCCTAGCTTCGTGAACAAAAATAACATACACAAGAATATCTTCAAATATGAGCATCTTGAAGTACTAAATAATGTACCCAAATGCACAATGACATCAGGAAAGAGATGACCAAGTGATTAATCCTGCTCAAACAGCTCTGTACTTATAAAACGTCTATTCCCTTCAGAGCAAACGCTCAATGCAGGAAATGAGGAAGTAGTCAGCCACCACATCGCTCCAGAAATGAAAAGTTTTGCTCTAATAGAGGGGTCAGTGAATGTGGGAGATAGAGGAGTCTCCACTGGTATCCAAAGTATGACTTGGGTTCACGGGAAGCTCATTAACACTGCAAATCCCCTTGATCTTTTCCAATTAACTGTCCCGGCCAGGACGATGTGAGACATGCAATTAACAAAGGCCAGTGGCTGACTCACCCCTCATCCCCCTGTTTCATTACCGACAAGCCTTGGATCAGAGTCAAATTCAACAGCTGACATATGTGCTTTAACAATCTGAGGGCTGAATTCGAAGCATAGCAGGTCCTCTTCACTCTGGACCGCAATTATGGAGATAGCCTTCTGTTATTGGGGAGTCTGTTCAAGGTCTCCTGCAGACAGCAAAGAGTCACATGTGAGAGTCAATAATAAAATGATCAGAGATATATCTGACAGCTACAACACAAAGAGATGTAAACGCTCTTCAGTCCCGTGGTGTGACAGTGGTCCTCTAAATGATCGTAAGTGTTAGAAATGATCTGTAGAGCAAAATTAGATCACAGTATTCTTGGATGAGGTCTGTCAATTAAGGAGAGAGTGGTATATCTCGGGGAAATAATTACTCAACTTATGAACACTTTGACATTATTTCCTCTACTTTGTGAATGTTGCAAAACCCACCAAGTTTAGCCTTTCTTAGATAGCCACCTTGGGAAAGACGAATGGTGCTAGTAAGAGCACAAGAAGAAACCAGCATGCTTCCAACACCAAAATCACTGTCACTCCCCCCTGACAAATTCTGTACCAGAGAACATTAAAGATCCCAGGGTGAAACTATTTCAGGAGGGAGCTTTTACAAGTGCGACCAACTTCCTCTGAGCAAATGAGAGAAATAATTTTCATTTGTAAGAGTTGAATTTGCCAGAAACTGAGGCAGATTCAGGGGGATATGAAGGCGTTAACTGCACTGTTTAAACAGGAGCAGAAGATACCTTTATTTCTCATCTCTCTTTAATCAACATGCTTGTTTGAGCTATGCTGCACAAAATTTGATTTTATCATGTGTGGAGCAAAAATTACAAAACCACAGAGAGCATTTTTTTTTTTGTAAATTAAAAGTTCCCAGTGTTTCATAGCTGTCTCTAATCTTTTAAGAGTCAAATTGAACATGGGCCTTTGCCATTTTGGCACTGATGACATAATTAGGGGAGAAAAAAACACCAGTTAATGGAGATTCAGAGGATTTTAAATCCTTTTGAAGATAAAATTTGCATGTCCTGTCAAGTGATCATGTTAGTGGGAGCGCAGACTCTCTGGCTTCAACTGCTGAATTTTGCCGCCCACCAGCATGGACACTTACAGTACACACAGTAGCCAGCATATAAAGCACAGTATACACAAAATCACACATACAAAACGCTCATTAGTTTATTTTTGTAAGGACAATGTGATAGGAGGATTATTTCGTCACCTCAAGAAAACAAAACCTTGTGTCTCTAACCCCTGAAAATGTAAAAGAAAATATGTTTATGTGATTTTTGACTCCACAGTAAAATATACGTTTAAAAAGAGGTAAGATAAAAATTCCTCCACATCTTTGTTGTAAATTCAACTCTACTTTTCTGCAGCATGTTTTTTCTTTCACAAAATACCCATATCTGACTGTCTGTGTGTCCCTCCATCTCGCTTCCTTTTCTCTGTACTCTTGTGGTTCTGTGCGTTTGTGTGTGTGTGCGTGTGTGTGTAAGTGTGTTTTTGTGTCTACTACTCTATCTCTCTGCGTGTGTGGGCTGCTGGTGCTCAGATTTAGTGCTAGAAAGTGAATTCAGCCTTCTTTTCATGCACAGTCTTGGTAGCAGGGCTCAGATTCTTTTTGGCACTGTGAGCATCTTTGCAGTTTCATTTTGGTCTTACAAGACGTTAATACAATATTCATCATCACATCACATTTGCATTAATGTTAATTCCTCTGAGGGCTGACAGCAGCCTGATGCATGTCTCTTAAGAGGAAAATAAGACTATTTTGGTGATCCTAAAAATGTTAGTGGTATAAAAGTATGCAGAAGTTTTTACTCAATCTGCAGCCTCTTGTCACTATTTTTCTTACACTGGCATACTGATGAGAAGTTAGCGAGGCTGATTGCAGACTTAAACTGAATTTACATTTTTGTTTTACTGTATTTGCTCAGCTATTTCTTCAATAAAAGAGCAGATGAGAACTCAGAGACCGTACACAAACACCAAGATCAATGTATGATACAGGATGTAAATCTACAAATCTAACCATCATACAGTATAATACAAGAGTATGTTGCAAAAACTAGACAAAGGATGTTGAAACATGGTAGTGCAAAGCTGGGTTTTCATTCAGGGTGAGACAAGTCTCTGACATGAATTCTACTTATTACCCATCTACCAACGTTAGAAATAAGATGACACAAAGGATTAATCTAAAGATGATTTTACTGATTGAAAACTGATTTGATTGTACAGCTCAAAAATAGTCTGCATTTCCATTGTAGTGGTTTAACTTACAGACTTATGGGTCAACTAGATTAAAGTTTTAGTTTGATCATCAAATTTCAAGTTAAGGTCTTAACATGAGCCATTCACTTAAATAGTTGAGGCACGGGTTCACAAAAACTCACTCAGAGATGCACACATACACACAGAGCCAGCCTTGATGCTATACATCGTCTTTTTTGTCATTCTGCTGGTCACAGTTCAGCCGTTAATGAGGAAATTAAGGTTTTGTGCTCATCAAACACTTGTGCCACGCTGCCAACAAGAAGTAGTAAAATCATGAACTGCATAAGTACACCAGGCTCTTTTCTGCAGTTTGAATTGCTATTATGTGTGTGCTCTAGTTGTCCCTGATGTTGCTTTTGCTATTCAGACTCATGTTGTTATGGGGTTCTGACCAATCAGACACCTACATTTAACACAGCAGGGTGCAAGAAAGCCATACAGTATAACCTAATGTATGTATGAATATCAAAAGCTTAGGTTGATATAACAACTTAAACATGTCCACTTTTTCTCCAAAGGTTACAAAAAGTCGTATCTGCTGTCAATGACTATTTTGTATGTTCAGTTCAGTGTTTTATTTGATCTTATTTTCAAGAGACAGATCCATTACTTTTGCATGCTTTGCGAGAGATTTTTGTCTTAAGTGGAATCTGCTCTTAATAGCTTCTTGGTGTGTTTCATGATTCATGATTAATGCTGATTTGAGAGTGGTAAATGGATCGTGCCCAAACCAGTTGGTCCAGACTCAGATCCGAATATGAACAAATTTAAAGGATTAGTCTTGGCCCAAGCTTTAGTTTTCCAACAAGTTTCATAAATATGGGGCCTGAAATTATTTCTGTAATGTTATTGACAAACACAAATAGACAAACAGACACAAAGCCTCCTTGACAAACCATGACTATATTTATCACATATTCTATTATCATACAGTTGCCATGATTGTGATTTTAGAGCATATTGGTACAGTCTACTCAGCACTAATATTATGTGTCTACCTCCTCTTTGCATTGAATTTTTTAAGCAAAAGTAATGCCTTCAAAAATGTATCTGCTGATTATACATGTATATGAGTTGTCATATTTATTTGCTCTGCAGAATGTGAATAGCTGGAAGCTCGTTCATGACATATTCACTTTAATAGCTTTTTTAAGGTGCAACTTTTCACAACTGGTTGCGGAAAAAGTGTAGAACACATGCAGCTGTTAGCAATGCCTCAGGTATGAGCAAAGTGCAGCGTGTCAAAGCAAAATGATCTGACTCCTGTCTGCCTCTTCAGTCAATCTCAATACAAACATGATGATTAGACTGCCAGCGCTCTTTGCCTGAATAAGAAAATGATTTTTGGCATGAGTTACATCTTTATTTATTTACTGTGCATCTTGATTTCAGGGCCTGTCATGAAACATTTATGCTAGATCAAATAAGATGCAGTAACCTGACAAAATATTTAAAGCAGCAAATCCAAAAAGGAGCTTAAATGATGAAATCATGATAAAAAAAGAAGAGTCTACCACAGAAGTGAGTAATTTTGTGATGAAAGTCTGTTAAAATAGGAATCACCTTTGAAAGTGGTCTGACTACTGTCCCTCTAATGTGACTTTTTTTTTTTTACAGCTATGTAAGCCACTAATGTAGTCCTTAAGTGGTCTCAGAGTTAGTGGCCAAATTGCAGGCACACAATAGCTGTGAGAGTAAAACCTGTTCAAGTCTCAATTATAAAAAACAGATAAACTGCAGTGGTTCGTAGTAACAGTCATTACATCCACAAGGTTCACAGACCAGAAGACACGGGAAACATACTGTCCTTACACAGTTCAGTCAATTCATTTTTAAATTGTGCTCTACACATTTCCTGGTGGATTTTTGTCCTTACTATTTTACTGTATATTAAACACATTTTTAAACCTTTAAGTTTCAGGACAATAAAGTTTATAGCCACAACAGCAGCTCTGTGAGACCAATCAAAACAGACTAAAGAACAGACAAACACATTGACTCTTTTTAGTACTTTGACACAGGTGTTCTGATTCAAATTTTGCCTTATGTGAGGTGCAACTGTTGCCTGTTATTTAAGGCTGAAACTTTTTGTTGTTGTCGTTTTATGAACAGTTTGGGCACTTTTCCCCAGAACCAGGAACTTTCAGGGCTCTTGGAACACTTTTGGAGAACTTTTTCAGTTTTTGCCTCAAGCACTATCTATGCAAAAAAGGAACTTTTTGCTTATATCTATATAGATGTTCATCTCGAGCCAAGGAAGAAACCACCATGTCTAAAAACCTTTGTCGCCACCACTAAAAAGTGACTGACAATATTTCTCTTTTTGTGATAAGTTGCTTTGCTACACTGACTGCTAGTCTGCTCACACCATGCTTGTGTAAATGCAAATGGAAAACTTAATGGGGGATGGTTATTGGGGGAAAATCTAAACTGTCAATGCCTCTCAGAGCGCCCCCCTCCATTTCCAGAGGGTCCATCAAAAATGCAGTACAATCCAATTCATCCATCAGAAATGTCTATAAATTCACCAAGCATGATGTGACCAACAAACTTTCTATGATTACAGAAGTCATTAATGTGAATGGAGTGTGTGTGATGATAACTGCTAGTCTCAGCCTCCTCTAAGTTTGAAACTACTGTGAGCTGTGCTGCCTGAAAAGTCTTATTAACCTGGGTGCCATTCATTAACATCACATTATTCATATGCATTTCTATACTGGATTCTTAGCAATTCCAATCCTGCAACAATTACACACTTATCAAGGATTAAGGGATCCTATATTTAGGGGCAGTTACAGAGATAAGCAATTATTTTCAGGAGTGAACAAATTCAAATTAGAGCCACTCATGCAAGCTTCTCTGCTAATGAATGTATAATTCCATTTATTAGACTTGCAGCAAAACACTTGCAATAATGTTCTTTTAGATGAGAGAAAAAAACCTTGAACTAATCTGGTCAAGCTGTGAATGAATGAAACAATGATTGCCTGGATAGAAATACTAGTTCAAAAACCTGTGTTGGATACTCACTTTCATGCACAATGTCAAAGATGAACTGGGCTGTTGCCATGCAAGCTCAGAGAGGCATGGCAAGCAAGTTCCCTCTCACTGAAATAGCCTGCAAAATTGTTTTAACAGATAACTGGGAGTCTGGCTGCTGGCCAGTATCATACCCTAATGCCTCATGGGATATTAATGGCAGCCCATGCAGAGGCAGGTTTTACAGTTGGGGAACAGATACTAGAATCAAAACAGCAAATCTCCTTTGACAAGAGTTTTACAGTAAGCTGTGAATCTGCTAATTGGTTTCATTGCGGTCCAAACTGTCTCTATTTGGTGTTGAATGAGAGCAGTGAGGTGTGCTGTCAGGCTTGTCATAGGAATACATGTTTCTATGCTGAAAACATGCAAGATAGCTTTTCTGTGATTACAATTAATATGAAACAAAGAGGAGTTGTTCAACAGAGGTTCTAATACAGGCCTCCTCTGTGGTACCGAATTTTTTGCCCCCTTCATCTTCTATGCCATGTACATTTCCTCTTGTGGGATGGCAGGTTGTCATTTCTGTCCTATTCCCTCGACTTACTAATACCACTGTGTGTTGTATTACTATATTTTAGGTGTATTATTTACACATAATTCATTAGCTGCAGCTAACTGTCATCAGCATACAAACAAAGTTTTCAGAGTGATTGCTATTTGTGTAAAGTTACAGCTAACTAAGCTAACATAGGCATACATTCATGTATGACTAGCCACAGCACTAGCCACCTCATAAATGTTCTTCCTTGAACTGCGTCACCCTGCAGCAGTCCATAATGGACTGGCCTGAGGTCTCGCTACAAACAAGCAGCTGCTGGAAGAGAGTAGGTGAGTTGTGTTTAGTCTCTTTGCTAAAGAAATTAGGCAAAGTTAAAAAGATGTTTGGTGGCTAGTACTATGGCTGGGACCCTATATGTACTGTTGATGAAGTTAGGTGCTGTTTTAAGCGTTATCTGTGGCTATAGAGTGGCGTTTTGGTTGAGGTTTGTTTATGGCTCCTCAGACCGCTGTGTATTGCTATCGTGTGGTCGTTACCAAAGTTGGTATGACTAGAGAAGGAAGCGGTTGGCAACATGAATCTCTAGAGTGGGTGTCTAACTCAGTGTTACGGTGTGTTTGACCCTAAATTAATTTCACGCTCAAATATACCTTTAATAGCCGAACAAAGTTTTTGTTGCATGACTACTGTCTTCTTTGTCTCACATTTCTTGCTGTAGCTGCAAACTCTCTCTGTTTGTTTCAATTCATCCATCTTACTATCGATACTTGCACCACAAACAAAAAGCACAACACCGTCCATCAACAAAACTTATTCTGATTTCCAATTTGGCAGTTTTGATGCAAGTGGTGTATCTGATTCATATAAGGAATGGCTGTGATTGGATAACGGGTGTCTCTTGGTTACTGATTGTGTCAGAGCTGATCCAGGATCAGAAGTGATGCCTAGTGATTACAGAGAATTAACTCCAACACGGGGCAAAGGGTGTCCCATTGGGGAGAAACCAATTTAGTTATTGAGCTAGAAAGATAGGATGTCCCAGGCAATACATGAAGGTCTGTAGTCCCCCCTGTAGTTGAGGAGCTGCAGCAGGCAGCAGAATTAACATGGAGGCTCTATTTTACTTCATGTCTATTGGAATAAATGATGGCAAGCTGTTTTGACATTACCAGTGTCACAACATCTTACTTCTCTACAACACACTCCACAGGTTCTCTTGAAACTACCTGTAAAATCAAATTCATACAGTGCATGTAGGGTTTCTTTGCAAAAAAGCAACCGCTCCTTTCCACTTAAAACTCTCCATCTTTGCTTCTCTTACCCTGTGTCATGGCTAGCTGGACTGCTAGTAGATAAATATCAACTCCTCTGGCAGCAGTCTCCATGTACATTTCCCCAGTGAGCCCAAAGGCCCCTTGATGAAAGCCATCCGTCACCGCTGCCGGATGACCTGTCTGCACTGACCACCGCAACACCTCCACCCTGACCAGTAGACTGTGAAGGGGATGTCTCCATGAGCACCCTTAGCCTCCACAAAATCATGATTTAATGCCTTTAATTTACACTGTCTCCAGGGCTTATCAAAAGGTTAGCTCAGGAGCATTGAGACGAGTTAATAAAGGCCACGCTGGGACACTGCAACATTCGACTTCAGCTGTGCTGTTACACCCCAAATTTTCTACACTGATTTGTGAAGTGATACAAAATTTGATTGCTGCTATAAGTTAAAGTCAAAGCCATGGCAAATTTTGGCAAACTGAGCGTGTTTTGCTGTCGTTGTATCCCAAGGGGGCAAGACGAGAGCGAATGATGTGAGGCTGAGTGAGATTAATGCGTGCTAAATGGAACATGTGCTGGGATGACAGGGTAGATGAGGAATGATGCCTCTGCAGGAGATGGAGAGTGACAGGTTGAGCACAACATAGTAGATTGGGGGATATTCCCATGAATATTCCTCCCAAATATTTAGAGACCATGGAAGAGCAAACGGTGGATGCAGGCGTAATCAGTGTTAAAGGCGCTCGATGCAATTTGCTGCAATAGTTCATCACAGACGTCACATAGCAATGGTCTAATTGAAAGTGATGAAATGGTATGTTAGGGAGGCTGTAGTGGGCTAACAGTGTGCCTAAACAAATCCCAAGCAAGTCTTTATCTGTCATGGGCCATCAGGACCAATTTATGACTGTCATCATCATCACTTGAAGTAATGTCATTGGAGGGCATATGGAACAGTAAATCCTGTTCCCAGGTTCCTCGTTACTGTAAGTGTACCTCCTACACAGGCAATCAAAGAGATAATTCATGCAGCAATATGCTCCTGCAGGTCATGGTGGGATTGAGGATACACAAAAACATGGACAAGGCGAAGAGGTTTTAATGAAGAAGATAAAGGGGGGCTAAATGTTAATCTGTGAGATTAACGTTTGGTCATCATTTAACAAACCCCTGCTTTTCAGACCATCCTATTCAGGGTCTATTCTGTTCTGTAATCATAGTTTTGTCTCTAACTAGTGTATTTGCATACCCCCCCCCCCCCCCCCCCACACACACACACACACACACACACACACACACACCTCTCCCACTTCTTCACAACTATTCAACTGGTATAATAACCCTCACCCTAACTGCTAAAAAGCTGTTTTTTAAAAAGTCATTTTAACATGAGAATGTCTTTAAGTGATTCAGAACATTCACAGCTGTATTTTTAAAAAGAAAGAGTAACACATTTCAACAATCTGAACTGAAACTCTGATCCTCTCATCAGACTCCTTTACTTTCTCAGTTGAGCCACTGACTCAACTTACCCCAGAATTACTATTATGACTTTATTAGTCCTAAAATGGTGGACTTTTATGCAAGGTTTTTGGCCTCATGTTGTAGCTCATAGATACCACAATTTATGTATAAAACAAATTTAAACGATCTTTTTTGGTCTGAACACAATTCTCATAAAACTTATGACAGACTAGATTCACTTTTAAGAGTGAAAAAATGTCTTTTTGTAAATAAATGTCTAACCCCTTCATCCATGTGCTTCTAACCTTCACAGACTCCATGAATTGATGCCCGTCTCCTAAATATTTGGTCACATGATCAATTTCTTTTACCATTTCCAAGAAACAGGGGGTGGCCCAACTTATCCTTTGGCTCAACTTACCCCACTCTCCCCGACTTTTCAAATGATACATTAAGACCACGGTTTCAGAGACTATGTAGATAGATTACACGTTTCCTAAATTGTAGTAGATAATCCCTACGCGTATGTTTGTGTCTAGTGCAGTTTACTTCCTGTGTTTTCCCTCCTTTTCTGATGAATCATCAGTTTAACCTGTGTCTTGTCCAGGGGTGAAAGTAAGTCGGTACGCAGCGGTCCGCCCTACCGGGAAGACATTAACAGCTGTTTGCAGCCGGTACGCAAACTTTCACCCTTGCAATGTGTGTATATTTGCTTACCGTGTTACCGCGCCAGTCTGCACTCTGCATCGTAACCGCAGTAATCCGACAGGACCATGCTGCTTGAGAGTGAGTCGTATTTGCTTCCGCAAACAAGCAAACAAGTGTGAACGCTCACAGCGCACTTTTGATTGGACGCGGTTGCGATGGCGATGGAGACCGGATGGAGAGGGAACTTTTAAAGAGACAGCTGCTTAAACCTTAATGCGGAAATAAACCAACATACAGAGAAAAAAATGATTTTATGTTCAAGAGAAAGAGAGATGCAGCAGATGATGATACTGAGTCAGCACCTCATTAAACCTCGTATGCTGTTCTTGTACAAAGCCTACAGGTACAGTACCTGCAAGAACTTTATCCTACTTTCACCCCTGGTCTTGTCTTTCCCAAATGTTGCTTGTTTCCCAGTGTGTACATGTTCCATGTCTTCCTCTCCTTCCGTGCTCCAGTGTTCTCCTCATGCTACTCCTCAGTTTTCCTGCGATTTTGGTTTTCTACTTTTTTCCGGTTGGATTTTTGTCTGACTTGAAAAGTTAGTGTTGTTATTTGCGTGTTTGAAAGTTGTTTAATCAAGTATTCATTTTTGTCTGCATTCAGGGTCCTTTCCTTTTGTTAAATGCATGACAATCCTCACATGAAGCTTCTCTGATTTCCCTCCTCTCTCATAATTCCTCCCCCATCAAAGTAGTATAAAGAACTTTAGGCACAGTAGACTCAAATACACAGGTTTTATCACATTAGTAAACCACTTCTTGGGTGCAGGGCAAGTGTACTTATTCTTTAGCAGCAACAAGCTCTCCATCTTCTCCTGACCTGGACATTTGTAAGGGCCGACTCAATGTTGCTTGCAGCTTTAATTACATATGGGATTATTTGATGTGGTTGAATATGTGTTTTTTATGACCCTGTCTGCAGCAGCACATAGCTCAGCTTCTTTGTTCAGTGTTATCTACTTTATGTAGTGCACTTATCATTACAGTTTTTCATACAGCCCACAACAGCTTAAGTCTCTTTACCCTGAAATTCCATAACAGTGCTGGAACAGATTTCTGCCATCACTATGCCTTTGTACTTTCACATTGCACCCTGAAACAGCATAACACTGGTGTCCCTATGTGTGGTTGCACATTGCATTACATTGCTGCAGAAGTGTGAAAGGCACAGCTTGTTAACACACAGAAGAGAACTCTGCATACAGACAATCAGACATGCATAGAGCGCAGTGCTTTAGTAAAGTAATGTTAAGTAAGCTTAACATTTACCATTAAGTTAAGAAACATCTTGTGCTCTTGATTTAGATAAATGAGGCAAAGACCAGATTTTCTCTTGGTGGGGACCAGTGCTGAGTCTTTTACTCTCACTCTAAGAAATTCACTCTACAAATCACAACAAGAGTCCCCTGCTGGGTGGACTTTGTCTCCAGCTCTGTGAGTTATGCCCATTAATAGACACAATTGGTACAGTTTTCCTATTTTCCCTCTGAGTTTCCGTCTTTTCTGGTCCACAAAGTCTGCAGGCATGATGGCTGAATTGAAGTTTGAAACACAGTATAATAGATAATAAAGAGAGGACGTTTCTCATGTAAGCATCCATACAGTCAAACATACACTGTAAAACTTTATCCATCTGCCTTCTATGTACTTAATTTGTTAGAACAAAAGACTAACTAATTTCTCAAAGAGACATGCAGGATTAGTTCTTTTTTTTGGCTAACTGTCTAACCAAACAAAGCAGACTGTTCAGGGGCTTCAAAAAAGTACTAAAAGGGGAAGATTTGTAAGTCTTCTTAAAATATCATGTTATCATGAAAACGGCAGTAAGTAGGACTCATTTCCTATGAGGTCTGGACTCCGCAAGGGCTGCCCTTTGTCACCAATTCTGTTTATAACTTTTATGGAAAGAATTTCTAGGTGCAGCCAGGGTGTTAAGAGGGTCAGATTTGGTGGTTTTAGGATTGGGTCACTCCTTTTTGCAGATGACGTGGTCCTGTTGGTTTCATCGGGCCATGAACTTCCGCTCACACTGGATTGTTTCGCAGCCGTGTGTGAAGCGGCTGGGATGTGAATTAGCGCCTCCAAATCTGAGTCCATGGTTCTCAGCTGGTAAAAGGTGGGAGATGAGATCCTGCCCCATGAGGAGGAGTTTAGGTATCTTGGGGTCCTGTTCATGAGTGAGGGAAGAATGGAACGGGAGATCGACAGGTGGATCGGTGCTGCGTCAGCAGTGATGGGCCAAAAGGCAAAGCTTTTGATATACCGGTCGATCTATACTCCTACTCTCACCTATGGTCACGAGCTGTCGGAAGTGACTGAAAGAAAACGATTGCGAGTACAAGCGTCTGAAATAAGTTTCCTCCACAGGGTGGCTGGGCTCTTCTTTAGAGATAGGGTGAGAAGCTTGGTCATTCCGGAGGGGCTTGGAGTAGAGCTGCTGCTCCTCTGGGTTGAGAGGAGTCAGATTAGGTGGTTGGGCATCTAATCAGGACGCCTCGCTGGTGAGGCGTTCAGAGCATGTCCCACCGGTAGGAGACCACGGGGAAGACCCAGGACACGCTGGAGAGACTATGTCTCTTGGGGTCCCCAAGGAAGAGCTAGACGAAGTGGCTAGGGAGAGGGACGTCTGGGCTTCCCTGCTGAGGCTGCTGCCCCTGCGACCCAACCTCAGATAAGCGGCTGAAGATGGATGGATGTATGATGGATGGATGGATGGATGGATGGATAGATAGATAATGAAAACTAACATAATCTGACAGGTTACTCTATTTGTTTTGTCTTGTTTTGTAAATGCTCTTCATTCTCGATAAACTAAAATTACTGTAACAGTTAAAGGAATAAAATCTGGGTGAATTTCTTTGAGGGATGGACATAAAAATAAAAAGAAGGTCTGTCAAAGAACATTAAATAACAGCCATTAGTCAAGTAGTTTGATGAAGCATATGCTCTGAAAGCTGTGCAGAAATTGCTAACCAGCCTTTATCAGAAAGTAAGGTGAATTTCTGGATGATGGTGGCCAGAACTTTCATAAGTTTCTGCTTATTACAGAGAAATACTCTCTGCTGCATGATTTCTATCAAAAGACCTACCTGCCTGACCTTTAAACTTGCTTAAATGATGAAGGTCTTGCCAATAAAGAGCATACTTTGGTTGAGGATTTTGCAGTTGAACTGTCCATATTTATACAACACAGATTTTTGGTGCAATGAAAGCCCAATCAAGTTGAAATTTTTTTCCCTTCAGGAAGGACCAGGCCAACTGTCTCCCCCCCCCCCTGCGCAAAGCTTTTACGCCAAGTGAAGCTAACAAACTGCTGCTGACCTTGGCTTCATATTTACTGTTCAAATTAAAGAGCTGTATTGACCAAACCATCCTCCATCTCTACAACCACTAAGCCAGCTAAATAGAGGGAATCCATTTGTAGGGGCTGTTTATAGGCCGACTCTGAGCTGGCCTTTTGGAGTTTTTAAGTCTGATCAAAGTATTTTCAAACTGCAAGAAGGCAGACTGAGTTGTTTTGTATGAACAGTGCAAAAGAGTTATTCTCCTACTGTGTGTCCAGCATATGAACTATTTTATCCCCTAACCTCCTCTTTTTATTTGACAGGAAACATCAAAACAACCATCTCCAGCGCTGCTAACGAAAGCATTGTTCTGTTTTAAGGGGAAATGTGTTTGCTCATTACAGATAACCCAATTCAATCGTGTTTTATATTCTTACTGTCAAAACACACATACGTAGCTAATTTACCCTCTACGTCGCAGTTTTATTTCTTTTGCTTCAAAAGCAAACACACACGCACACACAGGCTTGTTACCCTTACTTTGTTCTGGAGAATTTCCCTTTTACTTTGTCTTAATTCTAATCTTAAAAATAAACTTAACTCCTCTGAGATGCTGGAAGCACATCTGCAGCCCTGCACACAAGCAGAGATAATGAGGTTGTTAAAGAATAGAGGGGGAAAAAGATGGAAAAGTTAGTTTGTAAGAGGAGATTCCTCTCAGGCAGTGGAGGCTGGTGTGTGTTTGTGTGTGTACAAAGCAGAGCAGCCGGATTGAGTGTGCGTTGGTGCGTGCGTATGTGTGTGTGTGTGTGTCGGTGTGTATGTGCTGGTGGCCATCGATGGAAACAGAAGGTGTTGTCTGGCACTTCAGGCCATTCACACAGACTCCTGGCTTTGAGTGCTGAGTTATATTAACAACTTTGCCAGTTTGTAATTAATGTGAATCTGCTGTTGAGCTTAATGTGCCCTGTTCTTTGTCTTTGGAGCCATTTTGACATGTTGTAGAAATATTCTCTACGGAAGACAAAAGGACTGGATTTTTATGAACTGAATAAATCAGATAACCACATTTCAAATAGCTTGAACATAGTCTTATGTTTTTTTGGACAGTAGAAAAGCCAGTTTTCAAACCCCGAACATCATTTTTTTTTACCACATTACTTGTTATGTGTCTACTCAGTACAGTGTTAAAATGCCATCCGTGATTCACCTGTGATTTCTAGTGCTTGTTTTAGGTATATAAACTAAGCCATTGGCTCAGTCCTCCTTTATTTGGGATTTGTAGTATTTTTTTCTGCTTTACATCAGTAAAAACACAAACTTTTGGAAAAGGACTGTTACTCAAGGAAGAGGACATCAGAAAATGTCTTTAAAAAAGTAGAGAGGATCATCCGGATTGTGCATTTCAAAGAGCAAACAATTCATTGAAAACACAGTGGGGAGTATCTTTTTTTTTTTTTTTTTTTTTTTTGGTTAAACTAATTTTTAAACATTTTTGCCTTAATAACGATCCCTCTTCATGGCTTACACTGAAGAATGAGATTATCTGTTGCAAGATTGCAAGTGTTTGTTATTCTGAATTGAAGTGACTAGGAAAGATTTTCCTCAAAGAAAGCTGAGTTGATATCCGCACCCACATACAGGAGGCTCTTAGATCTCTGCTAGTTCAGTTTAACAGGAGGAGGCAAAGTGAGAAAGCAGGAATTTTGTGTCCTTTTCATGCAATGTGTGGCTGACACTAGAGCAGGATTTACAAAAGGTGTATGTTTCCTAAAACTAGTTTGCACCAGCGTGAAGACAGAGGAGTTAAATCCTGTGCAGGTTTTTGGTGTG